AATATCATAATAATGATCACCTTATGATGAGTTTCATCATCACCTCCCCTTCTATGTTGGGGTAAACCGCTGATTTACTGTTTTAATAACTACGTTAGTCAAGGAAGGGAACTCTCTATGGTCAAAAGCATACACGTCACATAGCTAAAGTTGGGTTTCGTGGGATTAATAGCCGCCGTCGCCGCTTGATTACACCTTTCACTTTTTTGCATTCAAATATTTTCATATAATTCTAAAATTATGTAATTTTTAAAATACCTCTAATTTTCTTTATAATATCAAGATATACTATATGATGTTCCTTCTACCTAGGTATACTATGCATATACCATGGTAACATATACCATGGTATAACGAAATGATATCTAGGAACGAGAAACATCGACCTTTCACCATATCCCCCCGGCCGTTTACACCGCCCGTCCACCTATGACAGGGTAAACCTACATCATGTGGGTGGGGGGACTATGCCTTTCACCATATCCCCCCGGCCGTTTACACCGCCCGTCTACCTATGGCAGGGTAAACCCACAACATGTGGGTTAGGAGGGTATCCAGCTCAGACTTTACACCCCTACTCGCTGTCACTATTTTTATCACTAGACATATTCAGGACAATAAGTTATAAAAATATTAACAGATACTGTCAAAAATTATAATTAACTTATATAGCTTTACTTATTCAAAGGAAATTATGCTGACTAATAATTATTATCAGAGCATTAAAAATAAATAAAAAATTTATTTTATTATATTTTAAGAAAAACCTCACTATTAAAATACCATTGACAATTACTAAAATTATCATATACACTATAGCAATTCACCACTGAAATTACTCTGTTTACCATTTCACGAAAATTTTGTTCATTAATACCTCCAATAATAAAGTCAAACAAGTATAACTTAAAAAAATAGTAAAAATAAATTTTATAAACAGCAATTAACGTTTAATTTCAACTTAAAGAACTTAATAAAAAAACATTTTTAATATATTAGTAATATAACAACAACATATAATATTTATAATTTGTAAGTATCAGTTAATAATATACTTCATTGTTAACTTTGAATACTATTCAGAAGACTTAATAATAAAACTATTCTGTTATGATTAGGTGTAAATTCTGGACCTATTAACTCACCAATAAGTAAGCAATAAACTAACATTCAGTCGGATGCGACTAAGAAGTTCATTTGAATTATTATATAGTTATCTTTAAATAAATAATAAAAAAAAATCAATTCTTAATGATTTAGTAACTACCGTAACTCAAAAATTGANATAATAAAAAAAAATCAATTCTTAATGATTTAGTAACTACTGTAACTCAAAAATTGATAAAAGAAAAATAGAAAAAGTTTGTGTTGAGTGTTGGAATTACTTTTGATTCGTGATATAGGTCTATATATTACATTTAAACGTATTAACGTTTAATATCAAATATAAGAAATTATAAGAAAATTAATATTTAATAGTTTAAACATTTAACAATAAAATATATTATAATTCACCTATGACAGGGTAAACCTACATCATGTGGGTGGGGGGACTATGTCTTTCACCATATCCCCCCGGCCGTTTACACCGCCCGTCTACCTATGGCAGGGTAAACCCACAACATGTGGGTTAGGAGGGTATCCAGCTCAGACTTTACACCCCTACTACAGCGGCTTTTTTGGATATTCGATGTAGGATTCAATTGAGTAAATTTTTTTTTTTATGTTTTACATCGCTAAAAGTATTTCAATTAAAATAACATTAGAAATTTATTCGTAACTTTAAATCTGTAATATAAATTTTAAGTTGAAAATATCTAATTTTTTTTTAATTTCTTATATTTGATATTAAACGTTAATACGATTAAATGTAAAATATAGACCTATATCCCGAATCAAAAGTAATTTTAACTCTCAATCAAACTTTTTCTAATTTTCTTTTATCAATTTTTAAGTTACGATAATTACTAAATCATTAAAAATGGATTTTTTTTTATCATTTCTTATGTTTAAAATTAAAAGTTAATAGAGGGCAATATAAAATATAAACAAAAATAACTCTTTCTCCAAATTGTACCTTATATAAACTATGCGAGTTACCCAACTCATAAAAAATAATAGTTACATAAATTAATTAAAATGAAATTACATAGTATTTACATCAAAATCGATATATATTTATAATGCATTTAGAAAAAAAATTAAAATAAATTATTCCTTGACAATACATTTATTTTTCTAATGAAAATAGTAATATATTAAATAAGATATGTTGTCGATGGGTTTAAACATTTAGGATGACTTGAAATCAATTATGATACTAATATATTAAAAAATTTTTCTTAACAAATTATTTTATTATTCAAATGAATGTCTTAGTCTAATCTTAATCCATGTTAGTAATTTATTGCTTACTTTCTGTTGAAGTATTAGCCAAAATATCTTTAATCCTTTGATAACTATAGTTATAATTTGCGTATATGGGAATTACACAACGAGATTTTTTATATTTTTAATTATAATTACAAAAAGCTACAAAGGTGTATTTATGAGGGCGGCATTGGCGTACTGTTAATATATTTTAGTGCTGTAAATAATAACTAGGTATCAACTATCTGTATCATTTTTATAAATTACCATTGTTTTTATAGATTGCAGTTCGACATAATGGACATAAATTGCTACGTTGTAACCAATTGTTTATACATCCTTCACAATATTTATGATTACATATTGTTGTAAAAGTTTCTGCGCTCATCGTAATCCAACAAATAGGGCACACTACAAAATATATATATAATAAAATTAAAGTAAAATATTATGGTACTAATATTAAAATATTTAAAATATTTATGAAGTATACATTATAGTTTCATAATGAAATGTATATAAAATTTATGATATCCAATCTTATTGTCGTATATGACCAATTGCGTGGCACACAAGAATATTGCATTATATTGTAATTGATAATTATCAATAAAATTACTATAATCTGTATTTTATATTAATACTAATTAAATAAAATAATTTAGTTGTCATAATGAAATTTAGTTGTCACACTGTTCAATACTATAATTTAACCATTTTTAACAATACTATCATTGTATTAATCATGTAACATTTAATCTGTAAAATAAATTGGCATTCACTAAAAGCGCTGACAACAATATCCCTGGATTGGGGTACCATATTACACTATATAATGTAAATGTATAATATTAAAATATTACAAATTATTATTGATTTTTATTTTTAATATGTGAAAGTAGTCATTTTTAACCTACTTTATTTCGTCCTTTAAAATGAAAGTTTATAATAAAAAAAAAAAAATGAATTTATTACTATAACTTTTAGCTCAACTTGCAAGTTTGAAATTCACATAATTTAATAGAAAATAATGGTATTGTTAATATTACTATGCACTCAGGAAATTGTACAATTACTATTTACAGTAAATTTATTAGTAAAGCTCGATTTGTTTCCATTTTTATCATAATAAATCACTTAAATAGAAATCATAATAATCATTTCTAATTGACTTTTGGTATTTAAAATGATTCTACTATTGAAATATTCAGAACTTAATTACTTTTAATGATTGATTTTAACTAAAAGGAACCAATATAAAAAAAAGTTAAAAAGATTTACTCAATTAAACGTATTATAAAATTTGATTATAATTATATTATTCCATCGTTAAATTCAGGTGAAACGAATAATAATTTTTTTTTAGATTTATGATTTTTTACTGCTAGTACCACACACAAATAAAGTTAAAAAATTAATAAATTACAAAGTAAAATTATTTACTTTTGTAGTTGAATACTGTTATCATATCAAATCTAATTCGACAATGAATACTTTAAGAATATTAAATATTACTTTTTATTTAAATAAGGGATTTTTTTTTAATTATTAAGAGTAATATCTTCAACTAAATACGAATTTTAATCATTTGACGTATCGTTGAAAAAGTAGGTCAAGTGAGGGTTGGGAAAATAAATCGTAGCCACAAAAAATACCACATAGTAAAATAATATTAACATAAATAAGAAATTTCTTTTTACGAGACTACAGTGGTGGCGCCTTGAAGTAATACCTAACGGTAGTTCCAGGGCGGTCCACAACCAAGCCGATCGGTGAAAAAAAAAAAAAACTACAGTGGTGGGAACATTGATATTTATTGAAGTTATTAAATCTAAACGAGTGTCACAACATCGTCCGTCGCTCTAAGCGGGCGCTCACCCGTGTCTCTCGCGATATCAGCCGTCCAGCTATTAATATGACAATCGATTGTCACCCCGCCCTTGACATCGAGATAAGGCCACCACCGAGTGTGTATTACGGATATGGCGTTCTGTTGCGTTTCGGACGGATATTTTAACTGTTCGTTTTTCCTGTGTGATCCTCTTATTTTTAGTGCGATCGTGCCATACTAGATTACACGTTAACTCACTGATATTTTTGTTTTGGATGAATCGTCACCAATTGTAACTAAAATTGTACAGCCCTGTATATATATATATATATATATATATAAACGTCGCCCATTGAGACGATAATTTAGTGCGATCGTGCCATACTGGTTTCCGTGTTACGAGATAAAAATCAAATGATTTCAAAATTTTTTTCTATTATAAACTTTCACTTTAAAGTGCAAAAAAGTAGATTAAAAGTAATAAATTTTAATATATTAAAAATCAAAATAAATAATAATTTGAAAAAAATTAATTATATAAATGATATAATATAATTAAAAAATTGATTATTATATCATGTTATAAATAAGAAAATAGGAGTTCCTTTTTCTGTCAGGTATCATTTATACTGGAACCAACTATTCCTTGTCCCCACTGCTGGTTTTTTTTTATATAATATAATATGAAGTATTAAATTAATGTAATTAATCTTTTGCTTATTACTTGAAGAATCATCAACATCATCTACAACTAAATATAGTAAATTTCTTTTTTAATATTATATATAATTATTTTTAAATATTAATATTTAAAATAGCAATAATTATTTATTTTTATGTATTGTGTCGTAATATTAAATTTAGAAGTTTTTTGCTTACTATTTGAAGAACTAGCACCATCACCTATAATTAAACATAGTATATTATTTTTCTTATAATTTGCCCAAAGTATTAAAATTTATGAGAACATGAAATTATTAATTATAAATGAATAATTCTGATATTTATTACTCTGACAATTCATTACAAATTCACAAAATTCAATATTTGTGCATATCTAATAGTCTTTGATAATTACTGATATAGTTACACAAGTTCATAAGTTCTATGGTATAGGGCGCATCTCCCATATTGATCACAAAAGTTTTTATCCCCTTTCATGGAAAAATCATTTAACTGCCACTGAATCTCGCTAGGGTTCAGTGGTACATAAAAACAAATGTTTTTATTCCATTCAGATAAAAATATACTCATATCGAAATTCAATGTATTAGCCTCGATGCGAAGCTGAAAAGGTATTAATTTAATCATGATGTGTTTATTATTTTTTTGTGTGTGTGTGCCTGTCACTTCTTTATATCTGCTCTTACTGACCCGATTTTTATCAATGATACATCAAAAGATCATAAATCATATCTAGTTGAAGATAGTACCTCCAACAAATGGTTTTATTTCAATCAATTATAAAGTACCTATACTATAATTAAATGTATTTACTGTAATGATTTTACTAGAATAACTTGTTTTGGCTTTAAAAATCTGTTTCAATTAATAACACTTTATTAAAAATTACAAAATTCACAAATTTTATTACAATTTTTTAAGTTAAAATAATAACGGGAAAAAGGTTATTAATCTGCATTTATTGTGCCTATTGGATATCATAGTCTTATATTTAATGTTGTACTTATGTGAAATTCGGTTCATTTCATGTTAAATTCGATATGTATTTAATTAATTTAAATCCGTTGTTATACCGTTATTAATGTTTTTAATGAACCTTGCCTATGAAACATTTTTTATCTGGAAAATGTTCTCAAAAAAATTCATAATTACAATATAAATGATTGTGCCAAAAACATCTAAATGATTCTAATCTGTTAACACTTAATTTAGTTACAAGTTAAAATAAAAAACAATCGTGTGTGGGAATAAATTTTTAAATTTTTAAATAACTAATCTCAACTATAAACAGAATTAAAATTAAAATTTATAGTTATAAATCTTTAATGTTATTGTTATTAGTTTAAATAAGTTTAATATTAAATTTAATGTGTTTTGTTTGTTCAAAATAATGTCATTTTTAATGGATTTATTCAATTTAAAATCATATTTTTTTTTTTACTCTAAGAGCCTTCTTATTTCATTTTAAAATGTTTTTAACTATTTCTGATTTTTAATTTTTTAATTTTATGTCTTAGTTCAAATAGATAATGAACAGTTTTAGGGACAGACAGTAATAAATCATAGTAGAATTAATATTTTTCAAATATTTTTACATCAGAAGTAAACTATTTCAAAATTCATATTTTAATTAAATAGGCGATACTATTTTCTGAATGCTTCTTATAAAAAAACAATATTTTAATTCTTCTGAATATTTCATATATCCAAAATTAGATACACATACATGTTTATAATTTATATAATTTTTAAATTAAGAAATCTTTGACAGTTATTTTACTAAGCTGTAAATAAATTTCTATTAATTTCTTTAGCCGTCACTTTTATTACTTTTAATTAAGAATTTTGTTTTGTTTAACTTTTAAATATTATTTTGGAAGTTCTCCTTAAAAAAAAATTAAGAAAAAACATAATTCTTCTTCTTTTGAGTTTCCAAAAATAGCCTCAAATCATATTAAAAAAAAAAAAAAAGAGACTTTAGAGTTTATCATTGATTTACTTAAACATAAAAAAAATAATATTAAATTTTGTAATGAAAAAAAGTTTTTATAAACGCATCACCAAATAAACTCATTGTTTATGTATAATAAAAATTCTGTCTAATAAATGCTTATGTTAATTAATACTTAACATATTAAAGATTTTTATTGTTATACACAACACCAAATTATAATATTTACACCTAAATCCAAAATTTATCAAGTTTTGGATTAATATTGATCAAATTAAAATGATAAGATCATAAAATGATATGATTTGTAAAAATGAAACTAAGATTATTTAACTACTTTATTCTATTTTACATAGATGTTGTCTAAAAAATTTCAATAAACATATTTATTATAATTCAAGTTATAAGTCAAATTTTAATACATTGTGATGATTGCAGGTTATATTTTGATTTAGTATCGGCAATTTGTGACCCTTTACTTGCCCACAGGGGGGGATTTAAAATGACAACTTTTTCACAAAAAATTAATTTTTTTAACTTAACTTTTGAAAGTGTTCCGGAAAGTCTGACAATTTTATATATATCTTAAATTAAAGCTAATGTAAATATACTTTATCATGAAATAAAAAAATTTCGGACTTTATCTTATCTTCATGGTGAAAATGGCTACCGAATGCTATTATTGTGTGAAAATTCTCGATTTTATTTTTTACATTTTTAACTTTATAATGCTGACATATAGAAAGTGTATGGATCAACATTATTTTTTTATGAGAAATAAGATTTTTTAATAATCCCTTTTTCAATCGACATACTTTATCTTAATTAGGATATTAATAAGTGTAGTAAATATATGAGGAAGTATTGAATTACATCGATTTTAGTATAATATAAGTTTTACAATAGTAGTAAGCAATTTT